AGCAAAGTGGGAAGTAGGGAGTAGAAATGGAACTGGAAAGTACTCTGATTCTTTTCAGCTTTCTGAGCTTCAATCAGCATTAATTGGCCTGGATTGTATGTTCACGAGATGTACTAAAAAAAAAGTGTTGAAAAAGTGTATGAAGTATTACTCAAGTCATTTGTAAATTAATTCTGGTTGAGTAGCTGCTGTACTCTGAAGCCATCTGCTTGTTTAACTGTACCACAGTGTGAGTGATGCAGGACTTAACCAGAATGGGTTTCTAGACACACAAATGTCCTGTAGGTGTCAGCACTTCTCTTGCTATTTTCCTTGCAGCAGCAGGAGTAGCAGGAAAAAACAGGTTTTTTGGATTTTTTTGTTGTTGTTGGTTGGGGTTTTTTTTTAATTAAAAGTATTCAAGTGGATATTCTTTGCTAGTGAATGCTATTGAAGCACATTTTTATACAATTAACAGGCAGAGCTCTCCTTACTGGATAAAGAGGCTTCAGAAAATTGAATTGGTTAAAATGCTACTTGCAGAATATCCTATAGCTGTTTATAAAACTGTCTAAATAGTAGGACTAAGCCTTTGGCAAATATTGAAACAAATGACACTCACCAGTTGTAATGTGCTCTGCCATATGCAACAGCATCTCTGAGGTTAAGCACTAGCTCCAGGTTCTGACTTTTGAAGCAGTCATGAACATCAAATGAGACGCAGGATTTACATGAAACTGGTTCACGTTCATGTTTGTTCATCTGCTGTAAACCCAGCAAGGGCAGGCTTACTCCAAGCCAGCCTTCCTGGAGCACCGGAGTCCAGCTCTGGAAGGGTGACTCAGCAATGAGTAAATGTGACTCAGGGGTCTGAGCAACATGGAGATCTTGGGTCTGAGACACCTTGGAAGCAGGAGGATGAACATGGTTTAGCCCAGTGCAGTTTACAGAAGATTTATTTTATAATCATGGTTGGGAGGATGGAAGAGTTAATATTAACCATCTTTTTAAAGCATAGGAAGAAAATAGGCATTGAGCACCCTCTCTTTTGGACTTGGTACTCTCAGCAGCTTGGCAAGTCTGATGATATTAGCATAGCCATTTGATTCAGAAAGAGATTTGGGTTTTGTGTTTAGAAGCCTGCTGAAGCTCAGTTTTACAGCATTCCATGCTTTTCTTCCTCTACATTGAGCCTGGTTAGCAATTTGTCCAGGTTGTCTCTCTATTTCTGACCTCATTAATTATTAAAGATCTCTTTTCTCTGACACTTGTTTCCAAGGCAGTCCAAGAAAGTATTGATAGCTGAATTTCCATGTGGCTGTTTCTAAAGTATTGGTTTCTTTGGCTAAGGAATGTGATTTTGTTGACTCACATTCTTCATTAGACCAACACTTGCTTCTTGCCCTCTTCCTAGAGAGCTGATGTCACAACTATGCAGAATATATTCTGAAGGGACTGAATGGGTGTCAGTGACAAAACTGAAGGTTTATCCACAGTAGTACATGTGATATTTCAGAAGGGGGAATTACCCTGCATTTTCATCTCTTATCTTCAGCACAGATGCATCTGAGATCCATTATTGAACAGATGGCAGGATCTATAATTCAAGTGTTCTGTGCACTTGTCTTTAGGATGCCTATATAGGAGGTGGAGGTGCCATGAGGTGTGAGTGAAGCAAGATAAAATAGAGCCAGTTCCTCTGGATAAGATAGTCTGGAGATTATCTTTTTACTTGAGCTTATGCATTGAAATAATTAATTTATCTGTGTCAAGCCTGCAGATTGAGTTGGTGAAGCCAGCAGCCCCTGAGTAGGTCATTAACCCTGTTTCCAATGAGGTGAGTTGGGCAAAGACCAGCCCTGTGCAAAGCTAGCAGCAGTGAAGAGCTTGGTCTTGGCTACAAAATAGACCCATGAGGCTGCATAAATACATGAAGTGTCCAAGCCACCTTTTACAAGCAGTGCTGCACAGAAAATGCTGATTTGCTAAAAGGGAAGAACTACATGGGCCTGACATTCCTGGATGTGTGAAATGGATCCTTGAGACTGATGGTCATCCACTGATGATCAGACTTAGTCCCTGTTTTGAATCAGGTGAGCCATTACTCTTAAGTAATATAATCTTCTTTGCTGTAGCTATTATAATTCATATGAATAGCTGCATATTATAGAATAAAATTCTGAAGCCAGCAATTAGGAAAAAAAAAAGAAAAAAAGAAAATCAGCATGCCATGTAGGAGAATTGTTTATTGTCCTGGCTCTGAGTTGGGCAGAACATCTGCTTTGTTTATCAAGGGAAAATCTAGCTTCTGCTTTCTTAGGATGCAGAACAAACCGTTACTTTTTTCATAAACACATTTTTAACTCCCAGCCAGTTGGACCAATGTGCTGCTGATACTGGAAGAACACCAACTGCTGCCTGATAGGACTTTAAAATGTTGCAAACAGCAGGCAGGACCTCTCCAGTCCTACAGAGAGCAGCCTTGCATTAAAAAGATTGGATTAATCTATTAGAGAAGTGCTGTTGTGTCTCATTCTCCTAGGGTAAAAGTCAAGAGCAGCTACCCCGGAGCTCTTGATTTTTAAAAAAATAATTTTGTATTTTCTAAACACGCCCTCTGTCTTCCTATCTCTATTCATGACTGAATCGCCACCTGCAAAGATTGGATGAGCTTGGTGTGGAAGTTTAAACTTCTGACCGCAGCTCTTGGCTTGGCTTTTTTTTTTTTTGTCTTGTTTTTCCTTCATTTCTACAAGTGCCCCAGGGCTGAAGTGTCCCCTGCTGTGTGCTGGAGTGTGCCTGCAGCCGTGGTCCCCCACTGCCCACCGAGGACCCCGGCAGGTGCTGCTGTGCTGTGCCAGGCAGCCTGGGCTGTATCTCCACCTGGCCAAATGCCTTCTCTCAGGAATGACAAGTCCATAGTGTTCAGAGTCCAGCTGCCAACAGCTGTGTGCTTGCAGTCGGTGTTTGTGGCCCCGTGGGGTGAACGCCATCGCTCCCTTTGTGCTTAAAAGGCACCCCTGGACCACGTCAGCCGTGTCCAACCCCTTTGGACCATCCCACACTAGGATTCATGGCAGTGGGGTGGGGGTTGGCTGGCTTGTAGCAAACCCAAGCTGGGGCCATAGCCTGATGGATAATTTACCATAAGTAATTTGTAGACAGGCGTCCCCTGGTTATGCTTTGCCCTTTTGTGGGCTAACAGTCAGGTAGTATTTTGTGGGAGGAGGGAAGGAGAGACATGGGAAGAAATTATTCTTAGTGCAAGGATCTTATTAGGAAAAAAACCCCAAAAATTCTGAATATTCCTAATAAATTTCCATTTGCTTGAGTAGAGAACAACTTAGGTGGATTTCTTAAAATATTTAGATGACAAGTGTAGTTTGATTAAATGCTATGTGGTCTGCTGAAGCTTTGCCACTATGGAAAAGAATCTCCCCTTCTGCAATCAATTAGTCTGTACTGAGATAAATTAGCAGCACTGGTGAGATGATTCAAGAAAAGGAGCCTGACACTGGGGTACCTCTGGGCTCTTAGCAGGGTTGCAGGAAAGGAAGAGTAGAAATAGGTGGTGGTACAATGCAACTGAGGAGATCCACAGGAATTTTATTGCAGTTGCTGCTGCATTCTGTACTGGGACTGTTGGACCAGCGCTACTTTTACAGATCTTTCCACTCCATTTCCTCTGTCCCTGCTGTCAAACCCATGACTAACTCTGTGTTGGTATTCCAACACATAACAGCTCTTTGGGAAGGGTTTTTCCCCCATGACAGAGCTGTGCTGTAAGCTGAGGCTCCTGCCTATGCCTCACTTCTCACCTCCTTTTCCCACTCACAGGGCCTTTACCATGCTTGACAAGAGATGGAGAGCAAATGTGTCCCAAACTGCTCCTGAGGGTCTTGGGGTCCGGTGGCCTCAGAAAGGTCTGTGCAGGGACCCATGGTTGGAAGGGACAGCTGGCCACTGGGCAGCTGTGGCCACTGGAGTGTCTATTAACCAGCAGAAAAGACTCAACTGTAGTGTCTCTGTAAGAAGAAATGGTATTTCCTAAAGGTGTGCTCTGAGAACAGAGGCTTTCAGAGCTGCAGATCTTATGTAGCCATTACATTCTGATGTTGTCAGAAGCCTTGCAAAGTGTTAGAAGGGGGATTATATGCATGGAAAAAACATGCAGCCAGCTTATTTTTAATTCTGTGGACCCTTTTAAATTGTTATATTTGCATCTCTGAAATAAATCTTTCTGATCATAATCACTACAACGTTTTAATTTTTCTGGAGCAGAGAATTTAGTGGCATCTCAGGAAAAGGATAATTATTCTTGAATGAATTCTTGAAAGAAAATTCTGAACACGTTCTGAAATAGGGTTACTTTTAACCTGGGATTAGGTGTCCCCATGGGGTGTTACACTGCCATACCTGAGCAGCTGGTCACTCTACTGGAGCATTACTTGCCCCTTCCTCTGTCCTCATGTCTTCTTACAGGTTTCAAATGCTTACATTTTGCTTTGTCATACATTATGGTCCCTGAGGTTTAAAAGTGGAGCTAAATTAATAGCAATCTTCAAACTGCCAATCCAACTTTACCTGCAAATAAAGGGAAAAATGACAGAAAATGTTCAAGTGCTTCAAAGAAGTCATCAGATGAACTTACCTGTCAAGGGTGTTTCTAATCTAATATATGTCTGGTAAAGACTGTAGCCTCCAGGGTCAGGCTTGGCTTAGGAAAAAAAAAAAAAGATTTTGCAGGGCCAGGCTCCTATTTCCTTGGACTTTTGCAGATAAACATAATGAAATGTATTGACACATGGGATACAGACACCTCTTCCTGTCTCCCATCCTGTGTTCCTCAGTAAGTGCCTGCCCCAGGGATCTCTGCAGAGCTTGGACACCCTGCAGTTTGCTCAGTGTGCAAAGCTGCTCCATGGAGACCCATCTCTATGCAGAGACTGGCCCAACTCAGCTGATTTCATTTAAGAGATCATTAAGAATGAGGCTTCATCTTCAGGGCTCACCTGGTTGTGAGCCAAAGCAATGGAGAGCCTGAAATGCCATCTGGAGCTGGGAGGCAATGGCTTCATGGATAGCAAGGCCACAGGTAACTTTTGAGGATGAGATGTGCAAGGGTTGAGATGTAGTATGTTTTTGTTCCTGTTCCTTCAGTTTTTATAGTCTTTACTCTTAAAAAATGTTTAAAAGAGGAGGGAGCGAATGGTGTATGACACTGAAAGTAATACTGGATATCACATCCCACTTGGGAATATTTCCTGGGAGGTTTTGGCTTTTTTTAGCAGCTCCAGTGAGCCAGTTTGATGTCTTCACTTCTCTGACACCTGACATGTGCATACAGCAGGGAGATGGAAAGGTTTCCTCTTGGGTTTCATCAAACTCCCATAGGAGTTTTTGTATCCCCATTCTGAGCACGGTTTAGATATATTTAAAATAATTAACTTAGTTAATTAAAAAAAAATAGTTAACTGTGAGGATATATATCTATCATCTCCTTGCTGTGATCCTGTAACCAGATACCTAATACTGGCTTTAAAAGTCAGTCCCAGGAAAGTGCTTTCTTGAATTATCTGGGACTATAAAGCAATTACAGCCTTAGCACACTTTACCTTGACAAAAGGGTTAAAATTTGCATTTGGGCAATGTTGTGTAATTTTTACCTGCCCTGATTTATGCTGGGGTGAAATAGATTCCTTTGCTGACTTAGTGCTCTGCAGAAAAATGAAAATACTGTCCCCAGAGTGGATATACTTTTTCATGTAGTGGGTAGGGGGAAGCTGCCTTTGGAAACGTATGCTTTGGAGCAACTCTGGAAAATGATCCAAGAATAAATTGCCTTGCACTGGATCATTTGAAAAGACTGTGGAAACTGATGCCTGTTATTTTTGGGAGGAGAGATGTCATCACCAAATGTATTTGAACTTCTTTGTCTTGGTCTGCAAATGTGGAGGGCTGAGTGAGAAGCAGTGACATCTTTCACAGCTCCTCTTTGCTCCCTGCCATGCTCAGAGGTAAAGAACAGCGGGTTAAACTGGGCACAGGAGCTCAGCTCCTGACATAAGCACTGCTGCCAGATCCTGCTGCCCTCTGCAAGTTTTTTCTCTGCCTCTTTTTGTCAGAGAGATGTGAATGCAGCGTCCCTGGCCTCACTGAAGGCTGTGGGGACATCCTGCCATCACCTCTGCAGAAGCTCTCACAGAGGAGGTGTGAGAGGAGGTGCTCTAAGAGCATTTCTGATCCTGCAAGTGAGGGAGCCTGGCTGGACTGGTTCTGTGCTGGCTGTCCTGGGAATGGGTCAGGACAGCTGGTCCACAGTGGTGCTGAGCTCCCTTCTGCCAGGGTTAAGCTGCAGGAAAGCTGCTATCTTAATTTAGGCTAGGTCTTTGCTGGGGAAATCACAGGTTCAATTTCTTTCCATCAGAGGACTTTGGCAAGACTGGGCTGGAGGCCTTAGCAACATGCCTGAGCACCCTGACCTGTTTAAAAACAGTCTGATACACTCAGAACAGAGCTCATCAGGACTAGCTGGGGTTAGAACTTAATTTGGAAACTTTTGTGAAGGATAATAAAAAATGCTTTTACAAATATACTAATGGCAAAAGGAAGGGTAAGAACAACCTTTGTTCTCTACTGGATGCAGGAGGGAACTTAGTGACTGCAGATGAGGAGAAGGGGGAAGTGCTCAACGCCTTCTTTGTCTCAGTCTTTAGTGGGAAAGCAGCTTCTCTTCAGGACAACTGTCCTCCTGGGTTGGGAGATGGTGTCAGGGAGCAGAATGGTCCCCCTGTTATCCAGGAGGAGGCAGTCAGAGAGCTGCTGAGCTGCTTGGATGTTCATAAATCTATGGGACCAGATAGGATCCATCCCAGGGTGATGAGGGAGATGGCAGATGAGCTTGTGAAACTGCTCTCCATCATTTACCAACAGTCCTGGCTCACTGGTGAGGTTCCAGATGGCTGGAACCTGGCCAATGTGACACCCCTTCACAAAAAGGGTGGGAAGGAGAATCCTGGTAATTATAGGCCAGTGAGCCTGACCCTAGTACCCAGTAAGGTTCTTCCAACTCAGTGATTCTGTTAGGACCAGCCAACCTGTCACTGCAGTGATCTTGCATTCTGTTGTTCAGCTGCTCTTGTGTTGCCTGACTGATAAACCACCCTGACACTGTGGATGTGATAAGCAAGCACAGCCCTTTGCAGGTGCGTTCTCATTGCACCCCAGTTGTGATTGTGGAAGGGAATGCAGAAATCTTGGTGCTCAAGCTACCATTCACTACCTCATTTTTCTGCATCTCTATCATGTTAACAAGTGAGCTACAGTGGCATGAAAGAAAGAACCAAATAGTTGGCTTTGGACATTTAGAAATTGGAGGAGTTTGTTAATGCCTGTCCCTGGGATGTCCCCAGTCTCACAAGGTCAGAGCAGGAAGTATGCTCTGGAATTTCATAGCACCACCTGTAGCTATCTGTGCCCAGCCCTGATCTAGATGTTAACATTTCTGTAGGTAACGAGTACAGTAACCAGGATCCCAGCAAGCTTTTTATCTCCTTCTCCAAACACATCTAGATTCCCATGTAATTATGAAGCCATCATGCTAATTAGAGCTGTGGGAAAAGGTTGTCCCTATCTGCCAACAGTTCATCCCTATGGCTGAGGCACAGGTCAGGCTTGGGAAGAATTAATGTCACTGTATTTGGTCACATTAGCAGTTCTAGGCTTTATTATTAAACAGCACAGACACCCTCTGTTAACTCATTGTTCTGCTGTGTCTGTCACACATGGGCTTGGGGCTTCTCAGGCTGCATGAAGCTGTCTGTGAATGGGTGATGTGGGGAGCAGGCTCAGGACAGGGCCTGCAGTGTTCAGGGAAGGAAAGGATACTTAAACCAAATGAAAATGGATGAAGGCCTTCTGTGGTTTGGGATATCTTATTAATATTTAGAAATAGAGCTCCTAGCTGTAGAACAATGCTGTGTATCAAGTAATTTTGCTGCAGGCTTATCTTTGCTCTAAATGGAACAGAAGACAATGCAATGTGACTGCATTGTGCCTTTTTATTTTTAAATAAAAATAGGCCACCAGCGATTTTGCTATAAGCAATATATACCTTCTTACTAATAATTTAAAAAAAAATCTTCACTCACAAATGTGAAGAGAGATCTTCCAGCTGCCAGTGTAATGTTTGCATGGTACCTGCAGAGCAGAGCACTGCAGTTCTAGAATTGATGGAGACATTTTCTCCCAGACTTGCCCCTTATCCCTGGGTTGCTGCCAGAGCTCTTGCCAGGGTTTGAGTCAGCAGGAGGTCAGCTGTGGGTGAATGGAGGGAGATGAGTCAGGAGGTGTTCAAGCTTTGTCCTGCCTCTGTGCTGGGCTGTGTCTAAAAAGCACCAAGCCTCAAAGGAATGAATTTGCTGTAGATTTGCAGACTTGACTGAACTTTAATTGCCCAGAAATCTGTTGGAAGGTTCTTCTGCATCCTGCATGGCAGACACAGCCTTGTCTTTGGTGTAAAGAGCTCTCATGTAATGTTGCCTGCTGCTTCTGGAGCCTAGGAGTCTGATGGATAGTTTTGGGGAGCTGGTAGGGAAGCTGTGTATCTGTGCAGTGTGTGTATACAGTGCCACATGTGTTCCTTTCTTCTGTGCCCTCTTTCCCTTCTCTGGTGTGTCCCCCTGCCAAGTGCCTCAGGAGGAAATGCTCTCAGGTGAGTCTGTGTGTGAAATGCAGAAAAACCTCCTGCCTTATCACCCTGCCAGGGACCCTCCCAAGGGATGGATCCACATTGTCTGTTTCTGCCTGATGCCATTAAGAGAGATCTCAAGTATATAAATTCACAGCAAAAAGTCATCTTTGTCCCACATGATAAGCTGATTAAAACTCCTACACTGAAATGCTGAGGAGTAAAAAAAAAAAGGTGTTAATGAATAGTATGGAGCTAATTAAAGTCTAAATCTGGTAACTCTGTGGAAAAAGCACAACTTTCTGTTCTTGTTTCAAGGCAGATGATTCTCATGAAGTGGCTGAAATTGGCCAAAGTGGTCATTGTTCCACATGCTATCAGATATTCAGCCAGCATGAATCTCCCCAACCTGAAAAATGTTGTAAAATATTTTAAAAAACCTGTATGTTAAGGGATTTTTGTCTTTGACTGTAGAATCAGCAGTATATGCTCGCATCATGGGCAACAAGTAGGTTTTCTAAAACACAAAGATGAGAATCAAGCATAGTTACATGGCTCCAGGAGGAAACACCAAAGTCATTTTCACTTGTGGCATCAGTTATGCCGCAAGAAAACTTTCTGAAAATTTCAGCAATAAAAATGGTTCATTGTACTGCAAACAGCAAAGACTATAAAACATCAATTCACAGTCCAGATTCTTCTTTTTCTTAACTTCAAAGAATACAAATTGTTTTAAGGAAAGGAGAACTGACTTTTGAAGGTAACCTTTTCTTCCCCACAACTTTCTCTCACAAATTCTTTAAATACTTTGCACAGTTAAATTATTTTGAAATTATTATTATAACAATTTATTATGGTTCAGCAGCAAGATGCACAAGTGGGCATTTTACCAAGTTGAATTGTAAAAGCATGAAGCATGTGATTGTGCTTGGAAGAAACAAATGAAAGTTTGCAAATATGTCTGTTTAATATTCCTAAAATGTCAGGTCAGGGAGACATCTCTGAGTTTTTGAATGGATTTGGTTGAAAGCACTTAGGAAGGTAGCAAGGTGATTACCAAAACTGAGCTGGGGCTGTCCAGGATGAGGAGCTGCGTGAGTGCTCAAAGCATGAAGCAGATCTGAAGCTTGTCTGAACATGGGACTGATGCTACATTGATGAACAGTGTTTTGTCACTGTATTTTGAAAGTTTACTATAGTGTCTGCAGATTGCAGCTGTGCTTCATGGCATTTTGCTGTCATATATAATATTTACTTTTTTACCATAATTCTTTTACCTTCCTTGTGTGATTTTGTGAACCAGCTGCCCTTCACTCTGTTTGATATTTTTATCAGACTATCCTGGTAGAAGACGAATGGGAAATAAAACTCAACCCAAATATGTATGAAGCATAGTCATATTACAA